AATCATGTCAAGTTCATGGCTAGAAGGGAATACACCGACATTGTAGGACCTTTTTGAGAAGTTCAAACAATGAAATCCCATAAACTTTCCTTATCTTTTCACCTGAATAAACTGGGATATAAGTGATGTCTCCTGGCGCTATCTTTCCATTTTCCCTGAGCTCTGATGGTTTTTCTCAGAGACACTCCAAAGACAGCTCGTAGCTCCTTTCCTCACTGGATCTTTACGTGCAGTCTCCATTGTCAGAGTGCATGTGCCTCTCACCTCACTTTCAACATTCTCTATCTCCCTCTTGGCCTTCCACCACCCACTGCCACAGCTTGTTTGAGATCACACCTAGTATATTCTGGGCTGGTTTGGTATTTTTTTTCTTTGTTGCTTCCATGCCCTAATTTCCCCTTTTCCATCCTTGTTTCCACTTGACCGTGTCTGGATTTTTCAATCTTGCCCTTTTCACCAGTGTGAACATTTCACCCAAGTCTGTCTATACTGAAAATATATAAATTTGTAATGCTGCTTTTACATTTAAGGAAAGTCTAGATGAGTGTGATTGCGTAGTGCGTTACCTTGTATTTGTACAATGTAATATAATGCACTGAGGCACTGTACTATCAAGTCATTAGGGGACCAGTTCTCAGACTACGTAAATTGATGTTCCTTCTAGTTTCAGAAAATGCAGAAAAGTCAGTACCTCGTAGGCCAAGGCTTCCTTGTGATCACCTTGTTCCTCCTCCAGCAAAACGAGAGAGGAGCAAGGTCACTGTAAACTCTTTAAACACATAAACCCCTATAACAGGTCATTTCTAGTGTCACAGTAAAGGTATAATTCTGCAATAGAGAAGTACCTGGAAGAAGAAGAAACGTCTCTATGAATGTGCCACAGAAAGAAAATTATGTTGTCCTGGCTTGACAAAAATATTGCTGAGCAGGCTTTAGTCATAGTTAAGAGATTGCCATATTCAATAGAGATGTGAAAACATTTGGCTGGACTCCAAGAAGAATATTGTATATTGAAAGTAGAAGTACACTCTAGATACAGGGTCCAGCAATGTTTGACTGAAGCTTAGCTGCTCAGAACACAGAAACTTTGTGGCCATCAATCTGCAAACACACAGCAGTTTCCCAGTGAGATGTAATCACACAATAGAAAAGAAAAAAGCTCCACTCAAATACATGGCTTTTTAGTAAAAAAGTATGTCTCCAGTGGCAAGTACAAATACTCTGATTCACCATCGTCCTACCAGATCACTTCTGTGTGCCTCCCACTTGCACCGTTATGTGGAATTTATTACTGATTTCCCCTGAGACCTAATTAGATGACAGTGACAAGTATTCTTTCCTTGCCCTTGTCTGAAGACACTGCCTGTTTCCTCTCACCACCTTCTCTTCTCTCACCTGAGAATACTTTCTTCGTTTTCCCACCTATTTGCAATTATTCAGTTATGCACTGAATGGTTGGCAACTCCTAAAATATTGTTTTCACCTGTTCTTGGAACTTCTGATAACCTAAAGAGCTCCATTTTTTTTTGTGCTGATAATGTGCCATTTTGAAAGTTTTGCTTTTTAGTTTTAAGCCCTTATGTGTGCCACGAAAATGTAAACTTTACAGAGTCAAAAACCGGATGGCATGAATTCAGAGACTAACTGCTCTTTCGCCTGAGGCTCAGAATGATGTTGTTTCTCACCGATAAATGCTTCCAGCAGTTAACGCAGAAGAAGTGAATCTCTGATAAAGAGAGAAGCTGCAAACTGCTTTCTACGTGAGGCCTGCTGTGGTCAACACAAGCCAAGCAGCCCCTCCTCCTCCCAACATCTGTGAGTGCCAGGTTTACAGAGGTGTGGACCATTTGTTCTCTCATCAGTGAAGCCTGTGCTTTATTCCCTTTCCTTGGTAGGTAAATGGTAGATAAAAGATGCTTCATGCCTTGCCTAAAATCTAGTACCCTAGCTTGTCCCAGGTTTTCTAGCAGTCAGTAGTAGTTCTTCCCTCAGGTGATATGGTCAATTAAATATGAAATGGGAATCATTCATATGTGATTAGCTTAGATATTTTGCTTGTGTTTTTTTTTCTTTCCCCAGCCCCATGAGCCCACCCTGTGTGACAGGAAGCCTGTCTTTGAATCAAGGAGGATATTTCAGAGCTTACTGCAATGGCTAGTTTTCTTTTATCCAGAGGGTTACTGAGGAAAAGCCTTTGGTAGGCTTATGGGGCTGTTATCCTCCACCTGACTATCACCCTCTTTAATTAGCTCAACTTCCTTTCTATGAAGGGCAAATGATGAAGTACATGACAAATATTGCAAGTAGTTTAGCCTTGCTGTCCTGGCCTGGGTTCAAGATGTTTCCCTTGATTCCCTGGGAAACAACCTGCTCTTGAAAATGTGGGTGTTGGAAGATGAGGGCCTGCAAAATTAAGGAGACAAAAAAGGCTGGAACAGACTATAGAGAAGGTAAGAACTGAATGGTAAGTGTCTGAGTGGTAAGTGGAAGGTCTTGGTGGCAACTGCTTTTACACATGAATACCAAGTTTTTCCAGCAAAAGAAGGGATAATTTACCATGCAAGTAGCAGCTGGTGTCATCTGTCTCTAAGTGAGAAGAATTATTTTCCTTTTCTCTTCTGTCTGTGAAGAAGCCACTGAAGCCACATAAAAATTGAGACTGCATAAAGTGCAAGGAATGCCTTTCTATTGGGAGCATCTAAGTAAAAGTATTTAAACAAAGACAGGTGAGCCTTACTTATAGGATGCTGTTTAACTCACAACTCTACTGATCCTCTTCAGACAGGAGGAAAGGGAGTGCTTTTACTTTATGGTTTTCTTTCAATTTATAAACCTTGTATGTGCAAGTGATGACGATTGGGAAGAAAACCAAAGTACATATTTAAGAGTTTTAAAAGAACACAGAAAATTAAATTTCTTTATAAAGAATGGATCAAATATATTGGAAATGGGGAGAAACAAAAATGGGGAGGCTTGTGATTGTTTCTCTAGCTGTGTGTGCTGTCTCAAGTGTTTACACAGCAGTGGCTCTTCCAACTGGGGAGTACAAGCATTCCCCATATTATGAAATTTGTGAAAGCAAACTAAGGTGACTGAATCCCAGAATCAAAAAGCTGTGTTTTAGCTTCTTAACTAGCTGCATGCATAAAATGGAAGATTTTTAATATGTACTGTAATGCACCAATAAGATTCATGCTGACTTCATGATGAAGCTTTGGCTCTTGATCATCCAGATGAGGGTCTGGGTTGAGGATACTAGTCTCTGTGAAACTGCTGTGGGAGTTGTACTGTTATGGGCACCTTTAGTACTATGATGGTGTCATATGTGTTTGTAAATGATCATACTTGTTGGGGTTTTTTGCACTTGACCTTGTTTTTCCCAACTTTAAACTACTGGGATTTTTTTCTAGTTGAAAGGAGGTAGATTGAAAATGAACATATCTGTTTTCAGTTTTAAATTTCAGTAAGTAAAAGTAAAAAGTAACATGTCTTCAAATGAGAGCAAAGTTCAGTAATGTCCAATACAGAAGAAAAAAAAGCCTAAACCATATTTTTTTCCTTCTTCTGAGCTTACTGGTGAAGGACCCATAAGCAATCTCTAGATTTTTGGCAGATATACAGATAAAAATGCCCATTGGATGTGTTACTTTTTAGAGGTATGCCCGATTCTTCTGTATCTTCATCATATACTTGCTGGTTGTACCTGACTGGCAGATGGTAATGAAAGATTATGCAATTTCATTTAAAAAAGCTCATTATTAAATATTAGTGGATAGGTTTGGATAGTATTCATCCCTTTAGTTGAGGAGATTCTCTCCCTCAGCCTGGGACAGTTTGGCCTGTGAAGAGCAGTATTAGGTGACTTTAAAAATAGCCACACAACTGTAACAAATGGAAATCTGGAATTATATTGGCAAAAAATTAAAACACAGTGCTACTACATGAGATCTGAAAAAAACCCCATGTCTTGCAGATGTGGCATGGCAGTGTATATTAGGCCTTCCAGAAGCTAAAGAAATCGATTTGGCTTGCGTGGTTTCCTTTGAGTTTTCCAATAAATATTTCAAGACACTATTATTTTTAGCAAAGGATAGACGTTGCCTTGTAATTCAAGAGGGGGAGCTGTCACGATTTCTAGCATCTTTCCTCTTCTAAATTATTAATACGGAATTTTATGGGGGCAAGTAACCCTCTGGGACTTAATTGCTTTGTTACAACGCTTTGCTGAATTGGGACCCTGGAAACGTCGCCTTCTCCCGGTGAACCGGCGCACAGGGCGCGGTGAGGGACGGGACGGGCGAGGAGGAGGAAGGTGGATGGGTCGCTTCCCCCCGGGAGGCCTCGGGCGGCCTGGCCATGTGCTCCGGTGTCGCTGGGTACCTGTCGAAAGGCCTCGGTCCAAAGGGGGAAGAATCGACTCGCAAGACACATGAGGGTAGTGAGACAAAGAGATGTCTGCCTGCTCAGCGCAGCAGGCAGCCTTTTATTGGGTTCTCCCACTTCTACTTTCCCACACACACAACACAAACATATTTCCACAAAAACACTGAGGAATGCGCACCTGCACTTCAGCCACACAGCTCAAGGCTGTGTCCGTGGGAACTATCTAACCGGCTCCACTGCTCCCATGGAAAACGGCCCAACACCCCGCAACACTCCAAACTCCTCAGACTTCAGTTGTGGGGCTGTGACTTCACCCCACACTCTGGGGCCCCTCAGGGGTCGTCCCGTCCCGTCCTGCCGGGGGCCGGAGTGTCCCCTGCCCCATGGCGGCCCGAGCGCCCCGTGGTGTGGGCAGGAGGCAGAGGGAGGAGGGAAGATGGCGTCGTGTGAAAAGATGGCGGAGGTGGCTGAGGGAGGGGGGTCGGTCGCTGCCGGCAGCTTTCCTTGTTAGGTGGCTCAGAGCGCCGGGAGTAGCCCTGAGGTACTGCGTTATTGCTCACCCAGCAATGAGAAATGCATTGCTGTGCTTATTTGCTCTTTTTTTTTTTTTCCTCCTCAGGTGCAGGCAGGAGATATGACCAGTTCAGCATTGCGATATTGCTACAAGGTAAATAGGGTGACCAGCTCCCTCAGCCAAAGGCCCGTCAGTGGAGGTAGGAGAGCTGGGCCACGAAAATAGGCAACACCTATTGCTTTAGGATGCACTGGCTCTCTTGCATGCTGGGGAAGGTCACAGCGTGTGTTTGCTGTACCTTCCCTGTGTGGGCTCAGGACAGCGGTGGTGTCTGCAGCCAGTCCCCCCTCAGCCTGGTCTGGGTGCCCAGGGCAGCCCCACGCACCGTGGGAGAAAAAGGCTACTCCCCTTTTGGCATCTGTGTAGTGTCAGGTGTCCTCCCCCTCAGAGATATGGAGCATGTTGCAAGGAACACGCCATCAGCAGTATCCAAATGCCCAGCTGCTGGCACTGCGGGGGCCTGTGATGCTCCTCTGTAGCTGCCATAGGGTGCTCTGGCAGGTGCTGCTGCCCAGCAGTCTGGGATCCAGCTCTGCTCTCATTCCCAAACCTGTGTACAGGGGAGAAGGTGTCTATCCCGATGAGGTCTTGACACTTTTCTTGATTTTCCCTGAAAGATACTTCCACCAGTAACCTGTTTTTTGCAGGCATCTACCAAATCAAGCCTACAGTTTTCTAAAAAGATTGCTTAACTTAAAAAAACCTATAAAAGCATCCACAGCACATTTGCTGAACATCAGGGAAAAAATGTATCCTCAGGTACTCTTTTACTTTTTTTTGAGTGTATATATAATGCAAACAACATCTTATGTTTTTAAGTAACTTCCCTAGCATTTAAAGCACATATGGCAAGGGATTACTCAAATTGCTGTTAATCAAAATTTGTTGGAGAATTACAACTCTTAAGTAAAGTGACTGAGTATTTGTTAAAACAAGTGTGTTGAGATTTTTTCAGGGAGTCCAAAAGAAATAGGCAAGAGCTCTATAAAACTTGCAGTCCCTCAGGACCCTTTGAAGACCCATTCTTGGTTTGCTTATTCTAGTGCTGGCACAATAAAAGGCAGCAAAATGTAAGTTTTCTGTTGGTTTGTCCCTGAAGATAATAGAAGGGGAGGATGAATTTGAGTAATTGTGATAGAGGAGTGAACTGCTTATTTTGTGTAGTAATGAGATACAGCTTAAAAATAATTTACGTTCCAAATTAGCATGCAGGAAGGTATGGAATGCAAAGCAGCTCTGGTAAAATAAGTGACTTAAAGAGCCTGACAGCAAACAGTTATTAACTGTTGTGTCAAGAACACAATAACAATGCTTTTAGAAACTTTCTTATCGTTGTGACATACATGCTAACAGTTCTAAAATTAGCTAGTAGATCACAGTCAGAAAAGTACAGCTTTCAGAACGGAGGCAGGGGATCAGTATGGACTTCGAGGAGCTTTGCCTTTGTGTACTTTTTTTAAACTCAGTAAACAGATGAGATCTGAGGCCAGATAGTCCCTGAATAGTCAGGGAGGCAGCTAAAGAGTTTTAAATATGCTTTACTTACAGCTTAAATCTTCAGATGTGGCTGAAGTTACAGAAAACTCTGAGGGCTGTGGGCTGTTCCAGTAGTTTCCTGAGGCTTGTTCTTCCTGTTCATTGCTGCATAGAGCTCTTTGGATTCTCTTCTTGTCCAGATAATTTAATGCATTGAAGGTATTGGCTATTAACTGACAAGAACTGTGGAATGTGTAAAATGATGGTTATAGTGTACCTGCAGTAGAGGAGTGAAGAATTTTGGTGTAACTAATGCAAAATTGATACCTTGAGGGAAATAGACTATACTGAAGAAACAGTTGTTTTCCTGTATATATACAGGAAAATTATATATATATTGTATATATTGTCTCTTAAAGTAACACTATTGAAAACTGAAACAGCACCTACTAAATGAGGGAACTTATACGTGACTGGCAGTTGCCAAGCAGTAATTACAAGGGGGAAAAATCATTATCCACTGGGAGTTTATGCCTGGGTAACTGAATGTCTGGTCAAGTTTCATGTCTGTTCTTTACTGCTTTCCTACCTCCCCCATTTACATTCTCCTCCTATTGTGTTTCCCTAGCACAGAGTCCTACTTAGCATCTGGTAGGAATGACCTCTAACAAAAAAAGGAAGTAGTACAAAGCAGAAACTTTCTCCTGGGGATGATGTTGTCATGTTTTCCCCCAATCTGAAAAAATGATGTAGAATATTTTTACTCTGTTGCATTGACATGAAGTGTTCGGACATGTTGAAGTATGTGAATTGGGTTCAGTTCATTAAAGTTTAGTACTGTAAATCTTTATCACATGAAAAATGCACCCTTCCTCTCACTCCAGTGAGTTGAAATCCTAAAAGGATTACATTTCCTGAAATGCAGCGTGGCTCAAGAAAGCAGTGGTAAATTAGGGAGGCTGTGTTACTCTTGTCTCAGGAAAGGTGAGCCCAGCCAGGGAAATGGAGGTGTTCGGCCCCCTGACTCCGAAGAAAATCATCAGGTGTTTTGAGTTACAGGCTTTGTCATCCTTATCCACAGGAATCTGAACTGTTCCTGCCTAAGATGAAAAAGCATGTCGGAGAAGTCGGGAGAGACGCACACAACATGCCAGGCTAAGGCAGGAAGAATAACTCTCAGAAATACAGCTCTGAGAGAGCTCTGCAGAAAAAGCCCCAAGGTAAACATGGGGTAGTCACTTTCTTAAGAAAAGACTTAACTGTTGTCCTAGGATGTAGTATAACAGGAGTAATTCCTGTAAGAAGTACTGAACCCATCCTTTTGGTCTCCCTAGCACTGGGAGGACTAAGACCTACTGTATCTAATCATAGACCTACCTTAAGAAAAACACGAATCAGATGAAATTTTTCCAGATGAGCGCAGCAGAACTGTGGAAAGTGCAGGAAAGGTGAGCAACATTTCCTCACAGAAGGAACTGAGTTATCCAGTCTAGAGAAGAGAATGTGTAGTTTAAGAACAACTGTCATGGGTCACAGCTTGGCCCAGTGAACTCTCTTTAATGGTGGCCCACAGCAGAAGGCTAGGGAGCAGCGTGAAAACTAGGCAAGCTTAACTTGGTAGATTTTCAGAATCTTGTGGCAGCTGGAAGCAAATCTGGAGCCGTGGCACATCATTTTCCTGAGCCAGTGGTGGTGGCTGACTAAAGGGCTGTAACAGTCTTCAGACAAATGATATTCCTGTGGGTAGGAAAGAAATACCCTGCTAAACATCTTTTCTCAGTGGATGTGAAGTTGCAGGTGTAAATTTTAGCACAGGAGGTACAGGTAAATTGTTCAGAACAACTAGGCAAGGTAGGTAGAGATAGGGAAGTACAAGCAGGTATGGCCAGGCAGAGTATACAACCTCTAAACTCATTCAGTTTTTAAAATACTAGTCAAACCAAGTCTTCTTGGTGCAGGTACGTCCTGAAATAGGGGCTGGAGTGTGTTATCTGTGCTTTTGTATTCCTTCCTTTGACTACTTATCACCACTTCTATATTGCTGTTCTGCAGCTCTAATTTTAGCAAAGATTCTTTTGTGCAGTTCCAATCTCACACTGTTCATGTACCTATTAATGTACTTTTCATGTAAGACATTGTTCGATATAGTACTTGTTCTGCCTCTTTTTCCTTTGATTGATAAAATGAAAACAGGAAGAAAAAAGACACTAGTGCTCAATACAGTAGTATCTTTTTGTCAGATGCCTGAAAACTGTTAATGAAATGTATTCTGTTCAACCATAGAGTGTTCTTGTAAACTAAAATGGTATAAAATGCATCTTTACAGTTACTTTATTCTTTTCAGTCAACTCTGGAGATACATCTAAGCTGTAGGGTGTAGAACCAAGTCAGGGCTCTGATCACTGTGTGCCTCTGGAGAATTGGAGGCCTTGTTAACTGTGGCTTGTCTCCTGTGTGTAGTTGTAGTATTTCCCCTCTTCTTGGATATAGATTTGTAACCTGTCTATCTGTGGGGGTCAGGTGCTTAGGCATCTGCATCTCTGTGCCTCTTTCAATCTGATTCTCTATATTCTTTCTGATCCAACGCAGAAGGTGACGGTGATATCTGTGCCAAACAGCAGTGCACCTTCCAGCAGTGTTCCTGGGAATGCTGGCTGCTGAAGGTAGTGATACAGGTAGCTGATCCTTGGCTCAGCTGTTATGAGCTTATTTTCTTATGCCCGAGTTCTAGAATTAATTCTACCAAATCATTGTAATTTCTCAATAAATTCAGTCACAAAAGAATGTCAGAGGAACAGCTATGTATTTGGTACTCTGACGTTGAGTGTTCTGCATTTTATCAAATGTTCATAATCCTATTCTTGCATGTGTAAGAAAAAAATATTTAGTAAGGAGTGTGGTAAAAAAGAGATGATGTTTCAAATGCTGCTGTAGTCTGCAAGCAGTTGAAATGCATTTAAGTACAGCAGCTAAAGAGGGATGTTAGGAAAAGGTGCTTTGCCCCCTCTGCTGTGGCAGCCTTGATCATAAGTGCTTTGTGTTCAAGCTTGATAGTTCTGGGAGCAGGATGCTATCTAATGTATCCTCTAACTGCTGGTGTAATGAGAAGCATGTGTTCCCTTAGCATCTGCTGCCAGATGTTGGCAAACACTCCGGGACTGAGGCCATAACCTTGTCGCTCACTGCTTGGGCATGCTGCCACTGCTACATGCTGCCAACTTGTATGGTTTTCAGGCCAACTGAGAATAGTACTTTAGTTTGGAATATTTTTAGTTTGCTACTGGTTTTACTTGGCCAGAGCTGCCTAAACTAGTGTCATCACACCAGGAGGGATGGTCTTAGCTTGATGCTACTGCTTGCATGTTAGGACTTCTTTTCCCTTCCACCTTCTTAAACTGCTGTTGAATTAGCTAACTGTATTCTTCTGACAGATTCCCTGAAGAAGCAGCAGTTCTAGTTGAGACACCAGCTGCTCAGACCTTTCTGCAAGGATCTGTGGGCTGATAAGACTTTGTGGAATCTCCAGGCTGCATTCCTCCTCTGTTTGCTAAATGACTCGTTGTGTCTTCAAGCTGGGATGGTGAGTTCATTCATTGCTCCTTCCTACCAACTTAGAAGGAAGCATAAAAGGTGGGCTGGCTCCTTGCATTGTTCTCCTCCCCACAGGCTGATGTTGGAGATGCAAACTTCCTGCTGCCTTCCTCCTTCTCCTCCTTTATCTTGTCACTGTTTTCATAAGGATTGAATATGCTTATTCTTTGTCTTTCACCTCCCAGAAATTCCCTTGAAATGCTAGTCAAGTCTTGTGAATAGAAAAAGTAGGGAATTAAATTCCATCTCTGTTCCCTGTGATTGGAACTAATGAGAACTGAATATCACAGGAGAGATGACAGTGTTTGTGTGCTATCAGTTGTAAGCCTGACCTTTCCTGAGGACTTTTGAAAAGCTGAACTTGTCCATTTTCATTGGGTATGATGTGGAAATGTGTATAGCAACAGTGGCTGTAACTCAGTCATGCAAATGGTTAGGAAAACATCAGCTGAAAAAAATTTTCTCCCTCTGAGACAAATTTCTTCTTCAACACACTAGGATATAGGTTTTCTTCTAGATAATAAGTTTATAACATATATAGTAAGTTTTCAATTGCACCTCAGCCAAATGCTGATTTATTGGCAGGGAGTAAGGAAAAGCTGCTGTGTGAATTCTAGCATTTGTTTCCTGCAGCTTAGATTTGTGATATATGACTTCTCAAAATATATTTGTACTTTGATAAGACATTATGAAATGCAGATGAATATTTCTTGAAAGATATATGTTTCAAATCAGACTTCCTTATCTGATAATCCAGAGTTGTCTTAATTTTACCACTCTAACTCTGAAATTCAGCTTCTCTGTGGTACAGTAAAATCATAGTCAATCTAGGATTATTCCAAAACATCCAGTTGGCTTTTAGGGAAAATCACACATGGCTTTTATTTCCTACTCATCAGATAAAATCCTTTGCCCTTGTCTGTGTTTACTAGGAAATTACTCATCCATGAGGGTTTTATACTTTGGGGATAAAAGGGAAAGACTGAGGATAAAAAATGAGGGAGGTAACTCAAAACATTTGTTTTTGTCTGCTCATGGGTATTTTCCTTTTAAATGTGGACCACTTGAGAACAGAACTGTAGCTGGGTTTTTGTTTTTAGAAGACATATGAATAAAGTATTTCTCTCCCATAGAATTTTGAGTTTGGTTGCTCTCCTACAACAGTACTTACTTCTTGATTTAAGAGCTCTTAGGGCTACTTAATGATAAAGGGAGTTTCAGATAATTTTTAAAAAGATTAACATAATATTTGCATGTAATGAAAGGTGACTGTTGGTGATTAAGAATTTTTTCACCTTGATGAGGAGTACAGGCTTCTGAGGTAAGTATTGAGACTTAAGCAACTCTATGCCTCAAGGCTAGTTCACATGGATGCACTTAAAACAGCACTTTTCACCTTAGTTTAGCCTTGAGGTTGTAATTATTTTTCCTCTCAGTGCAGGCATTGCTGTCATTCTCCCATGTTTTACATTCTCATAACTTGATTACTAGTTGTGGCTGTATCTTAAATCAATCTAGAAACTTCTCTTGGTGCAGAATGCTTAGTAGTGTACTGAATAATGAAGCTGGAGCACAGCAGAATTTAATGTCCTTGGTTCTATTTTAAGTGAATTCCACGGTAGTTCTAGAGGGTAACAGGTGAGTATTACTGATGACAAATGCTTGTATTTCCACATGCCATGGATGGTAACACAGCAGGCTTCCCTGCACAGGCCTGACAGTCTGACTTACAGTGGTCTTGTGGGATGGGGAAAATATCCCTTTACTTGTGCACAAACCTCTTTTCTGTGCTGGTAAGACTTTTCAACAGAGGCAGGAAATGAGCTGAGCATGTGTATCTTGTAGACGCTGGACTAAAGTCCTTTAATGTCCATAGGGAATGAAACAGGCTTCACTTGGTGGAGATTCCACATTGGCAAACAGCAGGAGATGCAGTTGCTTCACTTTTAGGATGAAAGATTGGTTTGTGTTGACTTCAGTTTGAACTTAAAGCTCCAGGGAGACTATATATTTGAAACCTTATTCTTTGCCCAGTTAATCCATTCCCTCCAGTAATACCTACAAGCTCCACTTAATTTTTTCTTCCTTTCCTTAGAAGATGTGTCTGTGCAACAGTGTTTCCTTCTTGGCATGTATCCTGGGAATACTGTCTTCCAAATGGAAAGCAAGAGAGTTTGTACGCACAGAGATTCGTATCCTATCCTAAGTAGTTTGCTGGATAGAATTAGTCAGAAAGTTTTTGTTAAAAAATGTATTATTGCATGTGCCTAGGAGGTGGGAGACTGAAACTCATGCAGTTGGGTCTTGTACAGGATAATGGCCAGTTTGCAGTAAGCATACTGCTTTTCATTCATGACTATTCCTAAAAGGTGATGTTTGGATTTCATGCTTCAGCATTTCAGTGTCCTTAAGGAACAGATTTGTTGTATTTCTGTCAGCCATGGCTTTGCTTTTTTTTAGGGTTGTTTATTAGGATGGAAGGCATGCAGAGAATTGGAGCAGATATCTTTGCTCAGTGGAAAAGAGCTGCGAGACCTCTGGGATCTGCAGGTGATTTGAGTCTAGATTTCACTTTTTCCCCCCATCACCTCTTGTGTGAGCAGACTCTTTGATATGATGCTGAAGGTGCCTGTGCCTCCAGGGTCACAGAGAAATGGTTTCTTACCACCTACTGAATGATAGTTCTGATTTTGTACCAACTAATTTTAGTATGCTGGACTCCCATCAAAGTCTTTACATAAAGTTAAAGTACCTATTAACAAGGTGCAAGGAAACTGTAGTTAGGAGTTGTGTACCAGAAGGCAAAGGAGAAATGGAAAAATTAGTTATGAAGTATAAATTGTATCTGGAACTTAACAGATATGGCCAAGCTTATTCCCTGACTTGGTGATGAATGTATTTGCATATGCTGTGGTGCAGCTTTCTGCACAGGGGCTACACGGAGGAAGAAGAGTGTGCAGAACAGAGCTGGAGTTAGGAAGGTGCATTGCACAGGTAAGGTACTGTGTGTTTGCTGCTCAGGTTACCTCTCAGTCGCTGCTGTAAGAATTTGTAGAAGCTGCTTTGAATGCCTTAAAAGGATTTGCTTGTAAAGAAGAGTCTGAGAGAATGGCCAGCTGGTATAATGGCTCCTGAGGTATTTAGCAGTGCATGTCCCCAACCTTCCATAGACTGTCTTATGTTGTTTGGTGATCACTCTGCATCATTCTCTGTATCCCCACAGCAACACCTCTGTCTAAGGGAACTCGGCTTCTTTGAGATGCCGAGGGTGGTGGCAGGCACTGCTCTGCCTGAAGGTGACAGCCTTACTTTTATTGTGTGCTAAAACAACAGATCCTAAATATTTTTTCAAGAGAGAGGGAGAAACAGTATATGAAACAAGACTTCCTGTATTTTTTTGAATACAGTCTAATGGAGGAAAACTGTCTTTGGCCTGTGATGTGATAACAAGAAGTACTGAATTGACTTTAGATTGTCTACTGGCTCAAAGGAAGTACTGGCTTCCAGAAGGGTTGTTGCTCAGCCTTTTAATCTCTTTGGAGAACTCTCTAGCAAGCCAGGAAGGGGGGGAATCTTATTTATGTAGCAGCAGTAGTAGAGGCTTCCAGGCAGAGATGAAGGTGATGTTCTGGGCACTGGTAACCAGGAACCAGGAATTGGTAACCAGGAACAAATGTTCGGTGTTCTCCAGAGAATTTGGGTTTTTGAAAAAGTTACATCAGGGATCCAAGAATTCTTGGAACCAATTGAAATGCTAGATCAAAGTACGCCTTTCATTAGAGATGCTCTGATATGACATTTCCTGAGTAAAATGAATTTGGGGTGGTTCTTGAAGGTGCTGGAGTGATTTTTTTGTTTATGCACTGGCCATGTTGAGACAACAAAGTGTGGATGCAAACATTCAGTGTGAGACAAAAAAAGGGAAAAGCCTAGAAGTTAGAAAAATGGCAAGTGGCAAAGCAGCAAGTGATAAAAAGCACTTGTGAAAAAGAATCTATCCTTTTTGTGAATAGGGGACACAGTTCCAGTCTGTTATTGTGTCCCCTATCTGTGATTTAATAAGCATTTTCCATCTTATTTCAGTGATAGGAATGTAAATAAGCAGAAAGAATTATTGAGTGGTGGAAGTGCTGGATCTTTTCCCTGAAAAAGCAGTCAAGGTGGGTCACACGAAAGTGACTTCTCCTAAGGGAAGGACAGGAGTGATTTAGGTCATAAGCATTCATTGTTTCAGCAGCGTGAGTATGTCCTGTGTCAGTGATAGTGGATAAATGTTCACAGTGTGAAATCTGTTGACCTTCATCTATAGGTCTGCAGTCAACACTAATGATTCTGTTCCATATATATTTTTCCAGAGAGAAATATATTTTACATAGGATATGGTTTTAAGGTCCTTTGCCACTTGAAGCCAAAATTTAATAATTGAGTTTCCACCGGGACTGAAAGAAAACTGTTGAAGACCATGGATCAAATATCACAATAACTGTATAGGCAATTCTTGGGAGAATTTATTGCAGCAAAACATAGAATCACAGAATGGTTTGGGTTAGAAGAGACCCCCCCTGTGGACAGGGACACCTTCCACTAGCCCAGGTTACTCCCTGTCCAACCTGGCCTTGGACACTTCCAGGGATGGGGCAGCCACAGCTTCTCTAGGCAACCTGTGCCAAGGCCTCCCCACCCTCACAGGGAAGAATGTCTTCTTAATATCCAATTTAAACTTACTCTGTTTGAAGCTTTCTCTCTTGTCCTGTCATTCCATGCCTTTGTAAACTTTCCAGCTCTCTTGTAGCCCCCTCAGGTACTAGGAGGCTGCAGTTCAGTCACCCCAGAGCCTTCTCTTCTGAAGGCTGAACATGGAGCTTGGTATTCTTTAGACAGGTTTTCCTCTTATCTGGTGACCTAGGTAGGAGGAACAGGTCTGCTCAGTCTCTGAACAGCTCTGTTCAATCGCTACTGTGCTTTCACCTTTTCTTCATCACGA